CTACAATAACCTTCTACATAATAAAATAACCTTCTACATACTACAATAACCTTCTACATACTACAGTAACCTTCTACATACTACAATAACCTTCTACATACTACAGTAACCTTCTACATACTACAATAACCTTCTACATACTACAGTAACCTTCTACATACTACAATAACCTTCTACATACTACAATAACCTTCTACATACTACAATAACCTTCTACATACTACAATAACCTTCTACATACTACAGTAACCTTCTACATACTACAGTAACCTTCTACATACTACAGTAACCTTCTACATACTACAGTAACCTTCTACATACTACAATAACCTTCTACATACTACAGTAACCTTCTACATACTACAATAACCTTCTACATACTACAGTAACCTTCTACATACTACAGTAACCTTCTACATACTACAGTAACCTTCTACATACTACAATAACCTTCTACATACTACAATAACCTTCTACATACTACAGTAACCTTCTACATACTACAGTAACCTTCTACATACTACAATAACCTTCTACATACTACAGTAACCTTCTACATACTACAATAACCTTCTACATACTACAGTAACCTTCTACATACTACAATAACCTTCTACATACTACAGTAACCTTCTACATACTACAATAACCTTCTACATACTACAGTAACCTTCTACATACTACAGTAACCTTCTACATACTACAGTAACCTTCTACATACTACAGTAACCTTCTACATACTACAGTAACCTTCTACATACTACAATAACCTTCTACATACTACAGTAACCTTCTACATACTACAATAACCTTCTACATACTACAGTAACCTTCTACATACTACAGTAACCTTCTACATACTACAATAACCTTCTACATACTACAGTAACCTTCTACATACTACAGTAACCTTCTACATACTACAGTAACCTTCTACATACTACAGTAACCTTCTACATACTACAATAACCTTCTACATACTACAGTAACCTTCTACATACTACAATAACCTTCTACATACTACAGTAACCTACATACTACAATAACCTTCTACATACTACAGTAACCTTCTACATACTACAGTAACCTTCTACATACTACAGTAACCTTCTACATACTACAGTAACCTTCTACATACTACAATAACCTTCTACATACTACAGTAACCTTCTAAATACTACAGTACCTTCTACATACTACAGTAACCTTCTACATACTACAATAACCTTCTACATACTACAGTAACCTTCTACATACTACAATAACCTTCTACATACTACAGTAACCTTCTACATACTACAGTAACCTTCTACATACTACAGTAACCTTCTACATACTACAGTAACCTTCTACATACTACAGTAACCTTCTACATACTACAATAACCTTCTACATACTACAGTAACCTTCTACATACTACAGTAACCTTCTACATACTACAGTAACCTTCTACATACTACAGTAACCTTCTACATACTACAGTAACCTTCTACATACTACAATAACCTTCTACATACTACAGTAACCTTCTACATACTACAATAACCTTCTACATACTACAGTAACCTTCTACATACTACAATAACCTTTTACATACTACAGTAACCTTCTACATACTACAATAACCTTCTACATACTACAGTAACCTTCTACATACTACAATAACCTTCTACATACTACAGTAACCTTCTACATACTACAGTAACCTTCTACATACTACAGTAACCTTCTACATACTACAATAACCTTCTACATACTACAGTAACCTTCTACATACTACAGTAACCTTCTACATACTACTATAACCTTCTACATACTACAGTAACCTTCTACATACTACAATAAGCTTCTGCATACTACAGTAACCTTCTACATACTACAATAACCTTCTACATACTACAGTAACCTTCTACATACTACAGTAACCTTCTACATACTACAGTAACCTTCTACATACTACAATAACCTTCTACATACTACAGTAACCTTCTACATACTACAGTAACCTTCTACATACTACAGTAACCTTCTACATACTACAATAACCTTCTACATACTACAGTAACCTTCTACATACTACAGTAACCTTCTACATACTACAGTAACCTTCTACATACTACAATAACCTTCTACATACTACAGTAACCTTCTACATACTACAGTAACCTTCTACATACTACAGTAACCTTCTACATACTACAATAACCTTCTACATACTACAGTAACCTTCTACATACTACAGTAACCTTCTACATACTACAGTAACCTTCTACATACTACAGTAACCTTCTACATACTACAGTACCTTCTACATACTACAATAACCTTCTACATACTACAGTAACCTTCTACATACTACAGTAACCTTCTACATACTACAGTAACCTTCTACATACTACAGTAACCTTCTACATACTACAGTAACCTTCTACATACTACAATAACCTTCTACATACTACAGTAACCTTCTACATACTACAATAACCTTCTACATACTACAGTAAACCTTCTACATACTACAATAACCTTCTACATACTACAGTAACCTTCTACATACTACAGTAACCTTCTACATACTACAGTAACCTTCTACATACTACAATAACCTTCTACATACTACAGTAACCTTCTACATACTACAGTAACCTTCTACATACTACAGTAACCTTCTACATACTACAGTAACCTTCTACATACTACAGTAACCTTCTACATACTACAATAACCTTCTACATACTACAGTAACCTTCTACATACTACAGTAACCTTCTACATACTACAATAACCTTCTACATACTACAGTAACTTTCTACATACTACAGTAACCTTCTACATACTGCAATAACCTTCTACGTACTACAGTAACCTTCTACATACTACAATAACCTTCTACATACTACAATAACCTTCTACATACTACAATAACCTTCTACATACTACAATAACCTTCTACATACAACAATAACCTTCTAAATACTACAATAACCTTCTACATGCTTCAATAACCTTCTACATACTACAATAACCTTCTACATACTACAATAACCATGCCGGTTCTCTTCTAATTGCGATACACTTTTCTCAGTTTTTTGAAACGTATCAGAACAGACTTCTTAAGTTACTGCGTAGAAACAAAAGTTCAGAAATGGGTAATATAATTTTGATCTTCGGTCACGTGTACGTGCCAATAGTTGTATTCAGTCTTCACCCGGTAAGGTAAACCAGAACTGAAAATTTGAAGCCGTTTGGATGAGTCGTTCTGAAGTTGTAAACCAGAGCTACGTGCATATGTGGAGGAAGAAACATGAAAGATAATTAAAATCATACACAAGTACTCATACTCACATCTTCCAGGAGATTTATTAAGACCTCAAAAAACTTGTGAAAATTTAAAAAAAAAAAGCCACAGAAAAGGCGAATTTTCCGTTCACAATTTTCTTTTTCTTATTAAAATTTTCATAACTAGATCTTTAGAATTCCACCGGATTTTTTTTTTTTAATTTTTAAGAAGTTATGTTTAATGTCTTTTTTTTTCAATAAATTTGTCAAGTTGACTGTTGTATTCTCCTTAAATCATTTACAAAAACATTTCCTATTAAGATATACGTGCGCTTGGTGTTTGAAGCCGATCTGAAGATACATTTTCTAGTTACTACATCAACACCAAGTTCTTTAATACAATTGGTAAATTAAAATATACACAAATGTATACAAAGTTTAAAGCTTATCAGGAAAGACATTATTCAGTAATTAAAGTGAATCGAGAATTTCCAAGCTTTTTAACAACGTCAGAAAAATTATAATGGTTATACAAACCCCCCTGGACACCCCCAGCCACCCCTATTTCCCTAGCCATCCCCTTCCCCAGGAACCCCCTTCCCCCAGCCACCCTCTTCCCACAGCCATCCCCTTCCCCTGGCACCCCCTTCCTCCAGCCACCCCATTCTCCAGCCACCAATTCCCCAACTACCCATTCTCGGATAATGATTTTGTGTGTCCCTGGGCTACACCTACTGTGAGACCCTCAGTGATATTTTTAAAAGGAAAAAATTAGCCACAATAGTCAAGAGTTCATTATATACGTAATGTAATAACATATTATATTCTAAAATAACAGCAGTAACTGTCAACACTTTTCACTAAATTTCTGGAGACTTTCCAGCTGGACTGCAGCCTCTGAAGTCCATGCCTTAATCCCCTCTTGCTTGCCCCTTAGCAACCCCCTTTTTCCCCAGCCACCTTTCCTCCTGGCCCCTCCCTTTCCCCGGTCCCCTTAATCTCTTTCCCGGTACAGTATAACCAGCTCTGAAAAGTTGAAATCGATCGCATAAAGCGTTTCGAAATTATCAACGAGAAAATGTTACCAAACCTGACGCAACGACTTGATTGTCTCCCATCAGGGATTCCTAATTTTTACACTTAAGATTTACTATTGTAATTAGTTAATTGAATTCATAAAAAATTAGCACTGTTTTGCTCATTCAAAGATCAAAGTACCAACACTTCAAAAGTTACATTGAAATGCAAACAATAACTCTTCTTTTTATAATACTCAGAAACAATCTGCTGACGTACCTGTTCATTTGATGCTCCACTTAGTAAGCCCCCTCAGGGAAGGTTCCTTGATGTTGGTGAGGGGCTCTTGATTTAGGGAATTGGATCTGTGCTCCAGTTCCCCGAATTAAGCCTGAATGCCTTCCACATCCCCCCCCCCTCAGGCACTGTATAATCCTACGGGTTTAGCGCTTCCCCTTGATTATAATAATAATAATAATCCACTCAGTAACTCAGGGGAACTCAAATGAAAAATATTTAAAAGTTTTATAAACTACGGATTGCATAAAGTGTATCCTTAAAAGCAAGAGTCACTAGCTAATAAACTGACCATTTTTAAGTTAATGGTAATGGTTACAACTAGCTTATTAAAATAACAGGATTATAGCAAGACTATTTAATTCACTGCGAACCATTATTAAATCTCTGTGTTTTATTTTCTCCAGAGACGACGATTCGAAGATCAAGCTTAGGTTACCTGGGCCGCGCAAGAGCAAGAACCATCAAGATGACTGTGAGCATCGTACTGGCATTCTTCGTGTGTTGGACACCTTATGTCGTCATCAGCCTCTGGTAAGTTATAGTGTGCTGCTCTTCTGGTTCTCATACCTCGTCATAAGCTTCTGTCAAGTATGATCATTCGCTCATTCTTTCTGCTCTGGATCTCGTATGTGATTAGCGAACTGGCATTCTTCGTACATTGCGCTCATTACGTCGTTATCAGGCTCTACTTGCTATGATCTTTCTCTAGTTCTTTGTGCGTTACGCATCGAACATCGTCATCAGCTTTAGTTGATAATTACTGTTTTTCTCGTCGTATGTCATAGGCTACCAAGAAAGACTGTTGGTGGGTTATAGAAATTATTGTGAATGAAATGGTTAATACCTTCAGTTTCTCTAATAAATCCCTTGAAATTCTGGGTTTCTGATGAGCTGCTTGTGTCTTCAGTCTCCAATAGCCCATTGAAATCGTCATACTCCAGAATAAAATTCACATTAAAGGGCAAGAACAATTAAAAACAGTCATGTTTAGGAATAGTATCTCTGCATTTTGATAGTGGTCCAAGGCTGAGCGAATCATGGTTTAAAGTTTCCTTTGCATACTGTAATATAGATGTGAAACTAAGTTTATACATGATTCCACATGAGCATTCTGAGTCACTCGCAGTTCAGTGAAGCTTACACTGTCTATTAAGACTCTTTTGACTAGACGTGTACAACAGAATCTGGGACTAAAATGTTGAAATACTGTACATTGTCTCTACTTATGTACGACATTAAGATGCTAATAGAAATGAACAAAATGAGAGAACAGTTCGTGACTTAATACTTGTATGTGTGAGAACTTGAAAGTGTGCGTCTGTCAGAGAGAGGGAGCGAGAGAGAGAGAGAGAGAGAGAGAGAGAGAGAGAGAGAGAGAGAGAGAGAGAGAGAGAGAGAGAGAGAGAGAGAGAGAGAGAGAGAGAGAGAGAGAAGAGAAGAGTGAAAAGTAGGAATAGAAAAGGCAAAAAGAGGGATTAATTGTAAGTGAAAGAAAAGAAAAAAAGAAGAAGAAGAAGAGAGAGAGAGAGAGAGAGAGAGAAGGGAGGGAAGCAGGGTGGGAGGATGAAGGGAAAGACGGAGGAAGAAATGAAGGTAGGAGGGAGTAAGGGGTGTGAGAATAAAAGTTCCCAGAATAATTAAGGCACTTGCCACACTGCTCACTGTGGAGGCTCTCCCATCATTAACAGTTCCATTTCCCCTCTGCTTCATTTTTTCCCCTTTTCCCCTAATTTCTCATTCCTGTTTCCTCTTTCCAAAATACCAGGAAATTCAGTATCAAGTAACAAGTGCAAGGTTACACTACGTAAGGTTCTTTTGGGTATATACAGACACATGCAAATGAACCCTACCATCTTATAAATTACATTCTTATACGTCTTGGTAGTGTCAGGTTTCAACGGCTGGTTACAGACCTGAAGATTTACAAAAAATCAGAACTTAGCAAACTTATAAACAAGAAAATATAGGTGTAAAATAAATGTAAACAACAGCTTGGAAGATTTGAAAGTTTTTATGAAACCAACAAGATGTGAGAAGAGACACTTATGTACAGATCAGGACATTTAGTACAGGAAACGTTTCGCCACAAGTGTCTTCTTCAGTCCTTTAGGACTCACACACACACTATTTACAAATGCCTTTGACAATTAGTAACTAACAAAAGAGGCCAAGTAATGAGTAATGATATCATCTTCTGAGATAAATTATTGATTATTTAACCCTCATGTGTTATGTAATATCCATTGTGCTATATATTGTATATTGAACATACTCATTATAATTTAAAAAAATAAGTGAAAATTAAGGAAAAGTATCGTTATCGGCAGAAAATTGGGTATCAGTATTAGTACTGGTAAAATTTATGGTATCGTCCCCCTCCCTAATAGTTAACGTTACGATCCCAACTGATTGAGGAAAGGATAAGGTAAGATAATAATTAGTCCATATACTGCTTGTCAGCCCAGCACTAAGTGGGAACTCAGAGACCGGCCGTATAAGTGTTTTGAAAGAAATCTTCAGCGTTCAACAGTGTATACAAATTAGCGAGCAGGAAGATGTAAGACGAGGTAGTTACCAAGTTTCCGGCGGTTGTGGTCGATGGCCGCTCACGTTCAAGTTGGAATTTCCTGTTTTTAATGTTTGCATTTTGGATGCAGTTGAGGACATTTGAGTGTTTTTATTGTACATAGCTCATGGTGGTCAAGAGCTTGGCTAGGTGTTTAGTTGGAGTATCTGCTACTTTGTAGTGGAGATGAACATCTGGGGTTGCTGGCAGTGATGTGAAAAAAGTTTCTTTCCTGGTCCTGAACGTTTTAGGATGTAACATATTTGGTGGGGGAAAGTTTTAGTTAGGAAAGTTTGTGTCTCATTTGCCTTTGGGTCGGTATTTTTTACATTTGCTTTGCCTCTTTTTCCTTCTTCCATTTCTTTTCTTCTTTTTATGTCTTTTTCCTCCCCTCTCTTTTTTCCTACTATTTTTACCTCTCCCTCTTATATTTTTCACATAGTCTCTTAATTCCATTTGATTTCCCTTTGTCCTTGCTTATTATTTACTTGTTCTCGATGTATCTCTCATAAATCATATTCTTTATTTTATAAGTTCTTCTATTGTTCTTACATCAAGGTTGCTGAAATTCTCTCACTTTCAATTCCTAATGGTTATAATTAAAATCTTTAAAGGAGTGAAAGCCAGTGGAAAGCCTCGGTCAGATGACCAAAAGCTCCAGCTCCGGGCCATTACATGACTAAGACCCGCATCAGGAAACATTTGCCCTGTTTGCTGACAAACCTCACCTTACCTAATTTAATTCTCTCACTAACAATCTCCCTACGATTCCAGGTAATCTTATTCAGAGATAATTCCCTTATAACTCTATCAAAGAAATCTCATTGGTGAATTGATAAAAATAAATATTTGATTATATTATTCCCAGCCGGGGACGTCAGTGAGCCTTAAGCATGATAACAAACTATTTCATTCTGACATCAAAAGCTATTTTTATATCAATGCACGACGTAGAAACAAACGGGTATATACAGAGGAAAATCTCAGTCATCATAACTGGGAAGAAACATGGCTTATAAAAAAGGTTGGCTAGCTTTGAGGCATTTGTGGCCGAGGGGTGAAGCGCATTACTTGGGAACCTTGCCAGTCTTCCTGTAGTGGGTTCGAATCCTACTAAATGCGATCTTTCTCTGTATATACCGCCTTTTTCTGATTGGTGCAGCACTGATACTGATATATATATATATATATATATATATATATATATATATATATATATATATATATATATATATATATATATATATATATATATATATATATATATATATATATTGTGCGATTAAGTAAAACTGGTCGATTTGCAAGAATTCATTTATAGTTATGTTTTTTCTAAAATTTTCTCTTGTACTTTTAAAGATTTTTTTCATTTATGTTAATGTAAAAATTAGTAATTTTTTGCCATAAGAACCTTAAAATACTTACCTAACCTTATTACAACAAGCGCAATTTAATTTAGCCTAATCCAACTAAATATATTTCAGATAAGTTTATTCGTTAAGTTCAGAATGATTTTTGCGAAATTATTGCATACAAAAATTTTCGCCTGCCTTATTCGGCAAGAAGAGCGTTAAGCGAATTCAGCCTATTTGGCAAAATAAACCAAAAATTAATAAAACAGAAGAGCGAAACTTGCAGTGTCGCTGGGAAGGAAGTGATACGCCCTAATCAACAAAGCTCGTAGAAAAACGGTGGCTGGCCTGGCACTGAAGTTATTATTCTTCAGCAAACAATCGCGACCACAGGAAAACAACCTACAAGATAGTTATTCACAAATTCACATAATAATTCACAAGTACAAGCAAGCTTTTACTCTCACATGGCCCTCATCGTTCATCTGAGCTTGTCTTTGCACATAACTTGACCTGACCACTACTACTAGTACTACCACTTCCACTACCAGCGTTACCGCTACTACTACTACTACTACTACTCCACTTCTTTCTTCCGCTCTCTCTGTTCCATCCAATCCCTTTTGCCTATATACACTGACGCCCTGGCCTTCGTGTGTTAGTGTGACTTGTTAATGGTCCAAGTCGGCCCGAAACATCATCATAAGCTTTTCTTTCTCCTATGTGCGGGTTATTTGTGTATTGTTCCAGTCACGGTATTGTGGCTTTTTATTCTCTCGCTAAATTTCATTTGATCTTCCTTTCTCCCCCTCTCTGTTTTCACATCTGTTCTTAATAAATTACTTTAAATCTGCTCTCACCTGTTACCCTTATCATGAGAACGTTCTTTCTCCATGATAGGTACTGCTTCGATAGGCCAGCTGCGTCACTGCTGGACGAGAAGGTCAAGAATGGTCTCTTCATCTTTGCTTGTTTCAATTCCTGTGTCAACCCAATTGTCTACGGCATCTTCAACTTCTGCAAGAAGAAACAACCAATAGTAGGTATATATGTGTGTCTGTACTCACCTAATTGTGGTTGCAGGTGTCAATTCATAGCTCCTGGCAACGCCTCATTACTGGTCGCCTGTAGGTCAGTCCGTGCTCTGCGAGCATTATTATACCTCTTCTTAAAGCTATGTATGGATCCTGCCTCCACTACCTCACTTTCCAGACTATTCTACTTTCTGACAACTCTGTGGCTCAAGAAATACTTCCTAACATCCCTGTGACTCACCTTAGCCTTCAACGTCCAATTATGACGCCTTGTTGCTGAGTCCCATATCTGGAACATTCTGTCTTTGTCCAGCTTGTAAGAACCTCGCAGTACTTTATATGTCGTTATCGTGTCTTCCCTATCCCTCTTGTTCTCCAGAGTCGTGAGGTTGATTTTACTTAACCTCTCCTCGTAGGACATACCCCTTAGCACCGGCAATAGTCTTATTGCAAACCTTTGCACATTCTCTAAATTCCTGACGTTGTTGGCCAGGTGTGGGTTCCAAACTGGTGCTGCATAGTCCAGTATGGGTCTGACGTACACGGTGTAGAGTCCTGAACGACTTCTTACCGAGGTGTAGGAATGCAACTCTTAGGTTTGCTTGTCGCCCATATGCTGCAGCAGTTATTTGGTTGATGTGCGCCTCAGGAGATGTTTTCGGTACTGTACTCACCTTAAGATCATTTTCCTTGAGTGAGGTCTGTAGCTTCTGGCCCCTTAGCCCGTACTCTGTCTGCGGTCTTCTTTGCCCTTCCCGATCTTCATGACTTTGCATTTGATAGAGCCAGTTGCTGGACCAGGCTTGCATCCTGTCCAGGTTCTTTTGTAGTCCTTCCTGACCCTCATCTGATTTAATCCTCCTTAACTTCAAATCACCTTCAAAAAGGGACACTTCTGAGTCTATCCTTTCCGTCATGTTATTCACATAAACAAGAAAACAGTACCGGTCCTACGAGTGACTCCTGTGGAGTCCTGCTCGTCACAGTAGCCCACTCTGACACCTCGTCACGTACCATGAATCGCTGTTGCCTCCCTGTTTGGTATTCTATGAACCCTTGCAGTGCCTTTCATGTTATGTGTGTCTGATCATCTAGCTTTTGCACCAATCTCTTGTGTGGAACTGTGTCACAAGCCTTCTTGCAGTCCAATAAAATGCAGTCTACTCACCCCTCTCCCTCTATCTTGTCTTACTTCCATTACTCCGTCATAAAACTCTAATTGGTTTGTGACACAGGATCTCCCTTCCCTGAAACCATGCTGGTTGTCGTGCATAAGGTTCCTCTTTCCAGGTGCTCCACCACTCTCCTCCTGATGAACGTCTCCATGACTTTGCATAATATACATGTCAGTGGCAATGGTTTGTACTTTAATTTCACGTGTCTACTTTTTTTCTTAAAAACTGGGACTACATTTGCCGTCTTCCATACTTCAGGTAGTTGTCCATTTACAATGGAAGTGTTGAAGATTGTTGTTAGCGGCATAGTGCCTCTGCTCCCTCTCTAAGGGTGCACAGAGAGATGTTGTCCGGCCCCACAGCTTTTGAGGTATCTAGTTCACTTAGCAGCATCTTCACTTCCTCTTTGGTTGTGTGTGTTTTGTCCAGCACTTGTTGGGTAACTGACTATTCTGGCTTTCTGTAGTCGTTCCTGTCTCTACTGTAAATACTCCTTTAATATTCATATTCAGCTCCTCACATTCTTCTCTGTCGTTTCTTTTGAACTCCTCCCTTCCTTCCTTCCTTCCTCAGCTTGATTACTTGGTTTTTGACAGTTGTTTTTCTCCTGGTGTGGCCATAAGAGCTGAGGGTCATACTTGGCTTTCGATGCTATGTCGTTTTCGTATTGCCATCGGACTTCCCTCCTTATCTCTGTATATTCGACTAATCGAATATGCAGAAATAAGGAGGGTCCTTTGTCTGCAGTTTTTCCATTCTCTAGTGCACTTAGGTTTTGCCTCTCTACACCTTTCGTTGAACCAAGGGCTCGTTCTGGTCTTCCCATTATTTTTACTGCTCTTGGGAACGAACCTCTCCTCTTCCTCCTTGCATTTTGTCATCACGTAGTCTGTTATTTCGTTTACTGATTTTCCCACAAATTCTCTTTCCCACTGAATCTCTTGCAGGAAATTCCTCATGTCTGTGTAGTTCCCCCGTTTGTAGTTAGGCTTCTCCCATCCTGCTCCTCCTTCTCTTTCCACTTGCAACTCTACTATGTATTCGAAGCTCAGAACCATATAATCCCTAGCTTCGAGAGGCCTTTCGTATGTGAAATCCTCGATGTCTGAACTACTTAGGGTGATTACGAGGTCCAATCTTGCTGGTTCATCCTCTCCTCTCTTTCTGGTAGTGTCCCTGACATGTTGATGCACGAGGTTTTCGAATACCGCCTCTGTCAACTTGGCTCTCTACGTTTCGGGTCCACCTTGCGGGTCCAGGTTTTCCTAGTCAATCTCCTTGTGATTGAAATCACCCATAACTAGTAACTTTGCCCTCCCCATGTGAGCCTTTCTGGCCACCTCGGATAGTGTGTCCACCATTGCTCTGTTGTTCTTTTCATATTCTTCTCTTGGCCTCCTGTTGTTCTGTGGTGAGTTGTACATCACTGTAATCACCACTTTAGGGCCCCCAGACTGAACTGTTCCTGTCATGTAGTTCATTTCGCCCATTCTGTCCATTCCTTCCATTTTTTTCAAATCCCCAAAGTTTTTTGATGAGCAGTGCAACTCTTCCTCCCCCTCTGTTTCCTCTATCTTTCCTAAGAATCTAATATCTAGTTGGAAAGATGGTATCTCTTATCTTCCCTGTGAGTTTCGTTTCTGTGAATGATATGATGCCAGAGGACGTCTCTTTGATTCCTTCATGCCACTCCTCGCATTTATCTGTTATTCCGCCCACGTTTCTGTGCCATGCCATAAACTTCTCTTTTAATACTGTGGTTTGAGGGGTACATTGGTTTTGGGGAAGCGAGAAACCTGCCAAGGTATTATGGGGGTTGGGGCTGTGGGTACGGCGTGTTGGTTGTTTTGGGTTAGTTTGCATGTTTGCAGTGAGGCTGTTGGGGTTGATGGCCTTCTGTAGGTGGTTCTGAAGGTTATATTTGCTCTTCCTCCTGGGTCTATGTGTGTGTGTGTGTGTGTGTGTGTGTGTGTGTGTGTGTATGTGTGTGTGTGCGCGCATTTAAACCGAGGTGTTTATTTTTCTGTAGATATGAACTGAGAGGTGAATATCTCTCAGTAGATATAAACCTAGAAACAAACGTCTCTCACTTTATATACATCATGAGATATGTATCAAGGAGTAAATATATATAAAAATGTGTGTATTATTCTATGCGAATTCACTAAGAGGTGTATATGCGCCGAGTAGTGAATAACATTCATTGTGTATAATCCTAATATATGTACACCAAGAATAGTTTATTCCTCTAAGTACGCACAACAAAAGATGGATATCTCTCAGTGTATATACATAGAGAGAATTCACTTGATCCTTATGTTATTGAGTAATATATTTTTGCTGTTACTGTAAACAAGAACTGCTGCCTGACCGGCTCACTACAAGTCGGCAACTTAAAAGTCTAGAAGCTAACCAGCTTGTCACTTCAGACACAGACGTGGCGCTCCACTACCCTCAACACGCAGATCAACTCTCGTAGCTACGAGTATCGCAGTTTCAAGTCTAGTCGTGTGTACTGGAATCGCCAGGACCCAGCCTCCACCCACGCCAATTCCGAAGTTACTGACCGCTCTGCTGAGCTCCTGCTGCCTCAAACACTCAACTCTGTTTCCCGTACTAGGTAAGTATTACTCCCACACCCACAATAGATGAGTGCACATCGTGTGTGAGTGTATACACACGCCAAATTAGTGTACACCAACTCCAGATCAGTGTATTTACTCACCAGATTAGTGTATTTACTCACCAGATCAGAGTATTCCAGCACTAGATAAGAGTACTCTTATATTAGGTGAGTGTATGACCAAAATGTTCTGCATAAATATGCGTATTGTGAATAATTATTGGCTTTCTGCATGCACGACTGAATGTCACTCATCTCTCTGCAAACATTGTACCATGCTGAAATAAAATTATTATTATTATTATTATTATTAGTATTATTATAAAACAGGTAGAGCGCACGTCCACGCAAAATTAGTGTATACTGACAGCAGATAAGTGTATGCCCACAACAGGTTAATATCAACACTGCAGTATTGGTACAGTACACAGCAAACGCATCGAACGCTCGAAAACTCTGGCAAACCGCATCCCAAATAAATTAATGAATTGAAGTTGTCAGCGAAGTTAGGGGATGGGCAACTTGTAAAATATTAGAGCAGAAAATCCATAAAATCCAGCCATGCCAAAACAACATTTGAATTTTTCTGATATTAGTAACATTACTGTTGTTAAAAGCCTTTTAATTAACTGTTAGAGATGATACTTCACCCTGTCCAAAGAAAATTAATTTCAACAGCCCAAATTCAATTTGTAGCAAGATTGACAGTCAGGATGAACTGATGTAGTTTCTTTAATAAATCTTCCAGACGTTCTGGTGTTGGTTACATGCAATCCGTTTGTAATCTTGGTTTCAAGGCGCTTAGACGAATGCAAATAGATTTCAACCCCAAAATGTATTAATTTTATACCTGAATAAGCTTCACTTTATACTACAAGTAGCTTAGACATGTACTTTGCAAGGTTCAATGGGTGAATTATAACATCTAACTCGGGAAGCAGATATCCATCAGGCTATATTACAGCGTTCAATATATGGTCTCGTTTCGTTTGGCTTAGTGAATCCCGCGAACTATTACTGCAGCGAGATCGTTTACGATTATGAAATTCACCTCAGCCAGCAAATGCTCGGTTTAAGCATTGTTTAATAAGTTTAATACGCACAGCATCTCTAATATCCACTTCGGGAAAACTCAGTGTACATAACTGATATATTTCGTAATATAAGTTAATTATAATTTGATTGTTTTTTACTCAACAGAGACCAGATACCAAGCTACCTGGATATCGTAAGACCTCAGTGTTATTTTGAAAACTATCAATCTCACGAGGAGTGTCAATAATGTCATCACTTTCAGAATCTATCGGGTACAGGACCAACATAAAAGCTGGGATATTGTATGGGATGTTATATGTTAGTTTATTTAATAAATGCGCTCGGAAAATTATTTATTTTCGTACTCAACTCATAATTACGGTCATTCACCTTCGACTTGATTTTTTAAGGGTCTAAATCTAGCTTCGAGAGCATTACCAGGCACTGTTTTCAGTACGAGGACCAGGTTGGCTGCCATTAATGATCGAGTGACTGCTGGTATATGAGACCCGTCCTTCATCTCTCTCTCTCTCTCTCTCTCTCTCTCTCTCTTTCTCTCTCTCTCTCTCACTCTCTCTCTCTCTCTCTCTCTCTCTCTCTCTCTCTCTCTCTCTCTCTCTCTCTCTCTCTCTCTCTCTCTCTCTCTCTCTCTCTCTCTCTCTCTCTCTCTCTCTCTCTCTGTCTCTCTCTGGGCCCTTTTAATTAGCTGCTGCCAAATCATGGACCTACCTACCTGGAGTCTACCTGAAGGGTATTCCGGGGATCAACGCCCCCGCGGCCCGGGCCACGACCAGGCCTCCCAGTGGATCAGGGCCTGATCAACTAGGCTGTTATTGCTGGCTGCAGGTAGTCCAACGTATGAATCTCAGCCCGGCTGATCCGGCACCAACTAAAGTATCTGTCCAGCACCATCTTGAAGGCAGCCACGGGTGTATTGGTAATTCCCTTTATGCTTGGTGGGAGGCTGTTGAACAGTCTTGGGCCCCGGACACTTATTGTGCTTTCTCTTAGTGTACTAATGGCGTCCCTACTTTTCAATGGGGTATTTTTCACCCCCTGTTCAGTCTTTCACTTTCGTGGGGAGTGATTTCTGTGTGCAGATTAAGGACCATTTCTACTAGGATTTTCCAAGTGTAGATTATGACATATCTCTCTCGCCTACGTTCCAGCGAGTTCAAGTCAAGTGTTTCCAAGCGTTCCCAGTAGTTAATGTGTTTGACGGAACTTGTATGCGCAGTAAAGGTTATCTGAACATTCTTTAGATCTGCAATTTCATCTGCTTTGAAAGGAGATGTTAATGTACAGCAGTATTCCAGCCTAGAGAGAACAAATGATTTGACAAGGATAATCACTTGGCTTGGCATCTCTTGTTCTGAATGTTCTCATTATCCATCCTATTATTTTCTTCGCAATTGTGATCGTGGTACAGTTGTGATCCTTGAAAGTGAGATCCTTCGACATTACCAGTCCCAGGTCCCTCACATTAATTTTTATCTCTATTGTATAATCAGTGTTTGTAGTATACTCACTCCTGATTATTATCTCCTCCAGTTTCCCATAAAGAAATAGTTGGAATTTGTCATATTTTTTTTCTGTTGCCCACTGGAAAACTTAACGATGATTTTTCCCGAAATCTTTGAATAATGGACGAGGGAGTCAAGCCGGTTTCATATTACATTCAAGAAAACCAACAAAAGGAAAAACCAGTGTTCCACTATGGCTCTAGAAATTTTATAATAAATTGTAATACGAGTTACAATTAAATCACACCTGGACGACACCTTAAATAACCCTAAAAATCTATGTAGCATAGAAGGATTGCAAGCAGTATTATCACGCATGCTTCGCAAGACAACGTTGAGATACCATTATTGGGGTAATCGTGGGGAAAACAGCTTAGGCAAACCATACCCCGGCCGGGATTGAACCCGCGGTCATAGAGTCTCAAAACTCCAGCCCGTCGCGTTAGCCACTAGACCAGCTAGCCACAATAAGATTCATCCAACTAGGTATATTTCTACACCATAGGAAGGTTAGCACAGGCACCTCTGTGACCACAAATGCAAGTTTTTACAGACGAATCTCCAGCTAACCTTCCTATGGTGTAGAAATATACCTAGTTGGACGAATCTTATTGTGGCTAGCTGGTCTAGTGGCTAACGCGACGGGCTGGAGTTTTGAGACTCTATGACCGCGGGTTCAATCCCGGCCGGGGTATGGTTTGTTTGCAGTCGTGTCATTACGATTTCGTGAGCTTAGGCAAACACCTAACGGTGAATATACAAGGTCGATATATCACAACACTGCCACAATTTCATACCCCCCAATTTCATACCCCCCAGTTTCATACCCCCCAATTGTGACTTGACAAGCCTTAATAACACTGGCCAAAAAAGATGTCAAGAGATACCATACAACAGTCAGAAAATAAAACTAAGTTCTTAATGTTATCTTTTTAAATTTACATTCACAAGACACACCTTTCTGCTTCACCAACAGATAGTCTGGTGGATATAAAAATATTTAACATCGCTTATTGAGTCAGAGTAAAATGGGAGGGTGTAGAGCTTCATCGCAGACAAAAATTCTGGAAACATTAATTAAATTTATGAGGGTGAGCCAAACCATGCGCAAACATCGCACAAAAAACAGTTATACATCATATGTATATGCCAGTGATTCACTCATTCTTGCAAGGTGACTTGGAGTTGAATAATAAGTTGTATTATTTACTGACTTCCTTCGTGATGGGCTAAGAACAACCAGATAAGCATTTTATGAGTGAGCTCTGTCTATATATCTTGTGAAATTTGTGCCTTCACTTTAATGACCGTGTATAGGAACTCGACAAGTGTGTAAAACCAAGTATAAGTGAATTATATACTAAATACTGAGGAATATAGCAGTGCAATACACACCGGAGTTCCAGAAGAAAATAACTATATGTATGTGAAACTCATACTATTCCAGTACTGTGAAATGCACGCGTCGCCACCTTCACAGTTACTGACGGAATTTTCACCTGGAATTGATCTCGCCTGCTTGATTCCTATGCCGTCTGTGCTGAGCTGACATAAGTCAGCCGAGTACGGAGCTGTGATTATAGAGCTGTGCCCTCTTCTTCATGTAGCTGGAGGCAATGCCAGGGAACATGACCCAGCCTGTTACAATAAGTACTTACTAAATCTTCGAGGGGCCTGGTATCAGGACTGTTGATTGTGTTGACAAAGTCTTAGTCCTTGTATTACTGAAAGGACGTAATGGAGGTCTTCTTATGATCCTTCCCACTCAGATAAAAATGCAACAGGATTTTCATGTATTGTTTTGACTCGCTCTACATGGCTGCCTGGTTTTCAAAGACATTAAAATATGTTTTTAGGTCAGGCTTTTCATATTTGAGAAGAAATGGTGCTGCATTACGGATATTAAAACCCAGCCACCGCTCCTTATTCACTCCATTCCGGTCCCTTTCTCTATGGAAATTTTGTTCACCAACATTCATTCCATCTTAAAGTTTTTCTCACTGTCACCGCTCTGAGCAAGTAATCGCTGGTCAGCTAACAATGCTTATTGCTTTCTGATCAACTTGAGCACTGATGCCGCAACACTGAGTCTTAACTGAATGTATAGATGATTCCTGTTGCTCATCACCGCCGCTGATACGTTTTTTTTTTCTTAAGTAGGGCAACCCTAGACCCCAACAAATTAGCCCATGTTGTTGGTCACTGCCGTTATCTTTAAGCAGATTGCATATAGTCAGTAGAATCTGGAGAAATTAGTAGCCCCCCGATTTTATCCTCACTATTCCTATTCTTGTAATGTCAGAATATTTAGTGGATCCATAAATTCTTTAGGTCAAAGTCGCCTAAGTATGATTTTTTTTTTCAAGGTTTCGTCTGCGCTCTTTGATCTTGGTGTCTATCCTGGGGAAGACTTGAAGAGTGAGTAATGACAGGCCACAA